GCAATTAAATGATACCTATAGAAAGGAAATTGGAGGAAGGAATAAAGGTTTGAAGGTCTCCCTGTAAATGTAAAAGGAAAGCCCAGGATCTTTGGTGATTAATGAAATATTCTATTAGTTACTGAGCATATACAGTGAATCATGAGCTCTTGATCTATTTCTAAAGATAGATCAAGTCCTTCTTTGAAACTGATCTCTGTACTTGATGTAATGTCAACTTATTCTCTATTATATTTTATTAAATATATTTATCTGAGATGATGTAATAACATAACTTTACTTTCCTTGACATACAGAAAGCCTTTCTGTAGAAAATTTTTCTCACTTATTTGAGCCTTACGAGTTAATCAGGATTTAGAGTCCCATGTGGATATCATCATATTGTCACTGTTACTGTCACCCCATTGTTCATCCATTTGCTCGGGCGGGCACAGTAACACTGTGAGACTTGTTGCTGGGTTTGGCATATCGAATATGTCAAAAGGAGCTTGCCGGACTTTACCATGTGGGTAGCTTGCCGGGCTCTCTGAGAGGGGCAGAGGAATCGAACTCAGGTTGGCCATGTTGGCTGCGTGCAAGGCAAACACCCTACCTGCTGTGCTATCGCTCCAGCCCATCATCATATTACTTTTTATATTTTTGTCTAAGAGTTTTAGTTTTTCAATGTGACTAATTGCATGCAACTGTTTTGGAAACTTAGACCTAGCATTATTATTACGATTATTGTTTCTCCCTACCCCATAGTTTTTTTTTTCTTTTTGGGTCACACCCGGCGGTGCACGGGGATTACACCTGGCTCTGCACTCAGGAATTATTCCTTCCGGTGCTCAGGGGACCATATGGGATGCTGGAAATTGAACCCCGGTTGGTTGCATGCAAGATAAACACCTTACCCATTGTACTATCACTTCAGCCCCCCATAGCTTCGTTGTAAACATTTCTTTTATACATAGAATCACACATGTTCACCCGATTTTAATTTAAATGCTCACTGAAAGTCTGTGCACGTAGATAGTGCTTTTTATGTTTTAGGACCATCAGTACCTCTCCATCTCTTTCCCCCTTTCCTTCACTCGAGTACCTTATGAATGGCCTACTAAGAAATAAGCATAGACACTAATTCTTTATATTCAGATATCCACATAGACACATAATATTTTGTAGTATGACTGAGTTCTTAAACCCTTGCTGGCATTTCATATTCAAAAAGCACATGTTTGATGTTTAAGTAAAAATGAGAATCTTTCAAGAGTTTCAATGTTAAATCCAAATGTTACTTATTTATTCGGAACCTTTTTGATTAAAACATTGGGAAAGGATGCAAATATTTCTGTCTACTAACATTCGAAACAAGCCCCCCCGCCCCACCGGCACAGGAAGAACCACAGTGGAGAGTTATATGGGCAGAATATCGGTAATGTTGAGAGGGAAGAAACCCAAATAAAGATTATCCATATATTAAATATTTGTAGTTACCTTCAGATTGTTGCTCACATCATATTTCTTCTAAACTTTACCAAATGTGATAGGGACCAATCGCTAAACTATAAATCTAGCACAAATCAATGCTTAAATATTTTGGTTTTGTTCAGAACTATTGGTGTGAAAGAGTTGATTTCTTGTTCTTTTGATTGATGATTTTTGTCCCAATTGATATATGCTCATTATTTAACTCTATGCATTTAAACACTTTAATTCTCATCCATCTACTGTTAGATTTCAAAAATACTTACATATTGTCTTTTATTAAATTTTGTTGACTGTTCTGGGCAATATGTTCTTGGAAATAGTTGTATTTATATATTTCTAAATTTCTCGATTCCATATTTTCTTACTAAATGTTTGCTCAATGGTAGATTTTATACATAGTTTCATTTAATAAATCTGTTCAATATACTGTTCATTTAATACATTTTGCTTACTTTCATCCCATCTAAAAACCCTCTTGTAGGATCAGATTACTATGAGACATAAAACGATAATTACAGTTTATTTGACTATAGGAAAAGACTGTATTAGAATTTTGGTTAACATTCATTCCTTGAGTGGAAAGAGAGTGTCTTTCATCAACTTAGGTGGGGGTCATATTCTCCTCCTCCGCCTCCTCCTCCTCCTCCTCCTCCTCCTCCTCCTCCTCCTCCTCCCCCTCCTCCTCCTCCTCTTCCTCCTCCTCCTCCTCCTCCTCCTCCTTCTCCTCCTCCTGCTGCTGATGCTGCTCTTCTTTTTTTTTAAATTTTTATTGAATCACAGTGAGGTATATTTATAAAGTTCCTCATGATTGGGTTTCAGTCATACAGGGTGTACGTTTCTCACCATCAAATTCCCCGGTTTCCCTTGGACCATCTCCCTTCCCCCAGCCTGCCTCTACAGCAGACAGTTTTCTTCAATCTCTTCTCCCCTTCCTTTCTCCCTCTTCTCCTTTCTCCTCCCTTCTCCTCATCCTCCTCCTCTTCCTCCTTTTTCTCCTCCTTCCCTCCCCCTTCTCCTCCTCCTCCTCCTCCTCCTCCTCCTCCTCCTCCTCCTCCTCCTTCTTCTTCTTCTTCTTCTTCTTCTTCTTCTTCTTCTTCTTCTCCTCCTCCTCCTCCTCCTCCTCCTCCTCCTCCTCCTCCTCCTCCTCTTCTTCTTCTTCTTCTTCTTCTTCTTCTTCTTCTTCTTCTTCTTCTTCTTCTTCTTCTTCTTCTTCTTCTTCTTCTTCTTCTTCTTCTTCTTCTTCTTCTCCTTCTCCTCCTTTTCCTTCTCCTCCCTCTCTCACCCTCTATCTCCCCATGTTTCCACATAAATCTTATAGGCTCAGAACCAGCAGGGAACCTGAACTCATTCTTCCAGGGTGTCTCACATGACACAGATCAGAAATACATCAACAACAGATAATATTAGGGAGGCGATCACATTCAATTCTGGTGATGCCTTTCAGAAACTTTGACAATGTGTAGGTGGAATCTGTTGTCTATGAGACCCTCCCTCTGACTCATATTTCAGCAACAACAGTGGCTGAGAGACCACCTTCTTCCACATTCTCTGACAATACCTCTCTTCACTCTCACTCCTGTTTGCTACTTTTCCACATTTTCTCAAACACCTTCCTCAGAGTTGTTCTCTCTCTCTCTCTCTCTCTCTCTCTCTCTCTCTCTCTCTCTCTCTCTAATCTTTTTTGGGTTACACCGAGCTTTGCACAAGAGTTACTCCTGGCTCATGCACTCCTGGCGGTGCTCAGGGGACCATATGGGATGCCGGAAATTGAACCCGGGATGGCCTTGTGCGAGACAAACGCCCTCCTAGCTGTGCTATTGGTCCATCCAAAGTTCTTAATGGTTGCACTGCACTCAAACATACTTCTCTGCAGACTGGTTCCACTATAGAATCCTTGTTATGCCTGATCAAATGTTACCTGGTATTTTTGTATTTCATAAGCACTTGTAAAGAATAGCAACAAAAAGGAATGCAAGGCTTTCGGGAGTGGCAGCCTGGCCCCGGGAACTGGAGCTGTTGTGTCCCCATCCCCACCCCCCACCTCCACCCCTGCCTCGCCAAGCATGGCAGCCAATTATGACCTCTCTTGGGGGGAAAAAAAAGGGGTGGAGGATGCAAGGTCATCAAAAATGGGCAAAACATTGGCCCTCGATTATAGAAATGAGGAGATCAAGGAAGGAGAGAAATGGAGGGGGTAAAATAAGAAGTGGACAAAGGTCCTAGGGCTTGGGCACACCGGTGGTGCAGAGGTGAGGTACATTCATATATCTAAATCAGGGAGACAACAATACTGATAACATTGGTCAGTGGAACCTACACTAAAAAACAAAACTTTTAAATGTTCCTGTGAAAGAGGCAGGTAGGTGAAGGGGTTGAAGGGAGCCGGGGGACATGGGGGCAGGGGAACTGACATCGGTGGTGAGATTGGTGATGGAACAGTGGATGCCTGGAACTACGATAAACAATGCTGCAAGTCACAGTGTCTCAAAACAGCATTTGTGGAAAAATCGTCTTCACTCTATATTTTCTATACTTTCTCTTTTAATATCTCTGTGTCATCAGAACATCTTTCATCACCTGAGTTGTTTGATAGCTCTCCTATTTGTGTATTTTATTTCTGTTCATTAGACCATAGTGAGAACTATTATCCGTCATTCAATATCAGTATTTGAATCAGTTTTCAAAGAGCTTATATTGAGTTCATAATTACCAAGTTGGTGCTGGGGAGGTAACTCCAAGGGCTAAAATACTCTTAGGTCCTGAGGTGTATCCATGACAATGCAGGGTCCTCTGAGGGCCAACAGGTGTCTCTGATGGACCCTAACACCACTGGACCTGAAAACTCAAGCCCCATGCTGCCCAATCACCAGATGTAGCTCAAGGCTCATTCAGCATTGCCGGCAAGGGCTTCCAACTAAAATTTTTGTTTACAATAAGATTTCAGCTTTTTTATTATGATATTTCAGAAAAATGGTAGAATATAAAATCTGCTGGAAAAGTTTGAAAGTAAGTGAACATTTATCTCTAAATATGAGACAAGAGTTTCAAAGAAGAGAGAAGATGTGCACACAAAATATTGATGACAAATATTTTTGGTGATGAAAGTATTTCATTAATGTATTTCAAAATAGTTTTGAAATTTTGAGGGTTGAAAGTATGTCTGTATTCAAGATCTGAGGGTTAAAAGTAGGTAAGGGATGTTATTGATAATGTTTCAGTGTCAATATTGCAAATCACAATGCCCCAAAGGGGGAGGAAAGAGAGAGAGAGAGAGAGAGCTCCTACGATAAGGCAGGAAGAAGGTGGGGGAGGGGGACGGAAGGGAACATGGGGACACTGGTGCTGGGAAATGTAAACTTATGAAGGAATAGGTGTTGGAACTCTGACTGAAATCCAATCATAAACAGCTCTGTAAGGGTCTATCTCACAGTGATTCAATTAAAAAGTTAAGAAAAAATATGTCTGTACATTACCTACATCTGGAGAAAAGAAATTCTGTATTTTTTTCACCTTGCAGTTCTCTCTGCCACATGGAACCCAGGAACTTCTCAGAAAACTTGGAATTCCTTCTTCTAGGACTTTCAGAAGAAGCAGAACTACAGCCCCTCATCTTTGGGCTATTCCTGTCCATGTACCTGATCACCGTGCTGGGGAACCTGCTCCTCATCCTGGCCGTCAGCTCAGACCCCCGCCTCCACACGCCCATGTACTTCTTCCTGTCCAACCTGTCCTTTGTGGACATCTGTTTGACGTCCACCACCATCCCCAAGATGCTGCAGAACATCCTGACCCACAGCAAAACCATCACCTATGAAGGATGCATTACCCAGATGTATTTTTTCCTACTCTTTGTAGCGTTGGATGACTTTATCCTGGCTGTGATGGCCTATGACCGCTATGTGGCCATTTGTTACCCCTTGCACTACACGGTCCTCATGAACCCTCGCTTGTGTGTACTGCTGGTTCTGGTGTCCTGGGTCATTAGTGCCCTGCATTCCTTGATAGAAAGTTTAATGGCTTTACGTCTGTCCTTCTGTACAAACTGGGAAATCCCACATTTTTTCTGTGAACTCAAACAGGTGGTTCAACTTGCCTGTACTGATGCTTTTCTGAATATCTTGGTCATGAGTCTTTCAGCTGGAATTCTGGGTGGCGGACCCCTGGCTGGGATCCTTTACTCTTACACTAAGATTGTTTCCTCCATCCATAGGATCTCCTCAGCACAGGGGAAGTATAAAGCCTTTTCCACCTGTGTGTCTCACCTGGCAGTTGTCGCCTTATTTTATTTTACTGGCATAGGTGTATACTTGAGCACTGCTGGCACCCAGAACACACACTCCAGTGCAATAGCGTCAGTGATCTACACCGTGGTTACCCCGATGCTGAACCCCTTCATCTACAGTCTTAGGAACAAAGACATTAAAATGGCCCTGAAAATTCTCTTTGAGAGAGAAACCACCAAAGTTTAGTTGTCTTAAGACTGAAGAAGTTTCTCGATTTTAGGGTACAAGAAACAGAAATTGCAAATCTATTTTTTTCAGCGATCCATGGTATACTTGATACTTTATTTAATTAAAATTTTTTCTTGAGGGAAGGTGATGGGCCACACACACAGTGACGCTCAGGGATCACTACCGATGATATCCAGGGGACCATGCAGTGCCAGGGATACATGGGGTCAGACATATGCAAATGCCTTAACCTGTATACTATCTCTCACGTCCTGCAATTAATTTTTTATTTTTTCATATTTAGACAATTAACATGACTAATTTTTGTTAAGTTATTTTTTTCTCCCGATCACAAAGTTCTTCTCAATTTAATTTTATGTTCTCTTAAATTTTCTCATGTATCTAAATTGTTCGGGAATTTCCATTTAAATCACAAACTACATTGATCTCTTGAAAATAATTTTTCTGGTGGCATAGTTCAACCACCTATTTTGTTCAATTTTAGTTACAGAATAGTAATGGTGGAGAAGCCTGTGTTCTTAGTTGAACACGTTTCCCTTTCTCTACCATGACATATTTCTAAGTAAATTTCTTTCAATAAAATATATTTTGTTTCAAATAAAAGAAGAATGTCATATAATGGTCTATGGAAATCTAAAATTTTCAACTTATATAATTTTAAAACACAGACCAAACTTAAATTTATAATCATATATGAACATTTTCATAATATCTCAGTGACTTAATTTTTATTCTTTATAAGGAGACAGTATTTCTTGGGTAGGTTATATTTAATTGTATAAATTATCACACAGATTCTAACAATTCTCCCAAAATTATTGAGTTAAGCATTATTGAGTAAACAAACTCATCTTTGTTTAAGAAGTAAGTTTTAAGTAGAATTAAGTAAAAAAATGAGTAAAATGTAGGATACAAAATCAACACTGTTTGTCCTCCCATTGTTCATCGATTTTTCTCGAGTGGGCCCAGTAACATCTCCATTTTGAGACTTGCTGTTACTGTGTTTGGTATTGCCGCATGGGCGAGATACTCTCGGTAGCTTGCTGGGCTCTCCAAGAGGAGCAGAGGAATCGAACCCGGCTTGGCAGGGCTGGCTGCATGCAAGGCAAACACCCTACTGCTGTGCTATCGCTCTGAGCCCTTAACACACAAAATTATTCCATTTCTCTGTACAATTTCACTACATGATAAAGAGTATATGAAGCACTTTACAATAGTATAAAATTCTTATAATTCAAATCAAATAAAAGAGTATAAGATATACTTAAGACTGCTATCGAGAAAAGAAACTCAAGAATACATGAACAGGTTGAACTTTTTCATCAAGAATCAGAAGATGCACTATTTTATAAATGAACACACTACTTATAATCATCAATGGATTCTATGAAATCCTTACCAGTATTTCATTTGACAGTTGCCACAGAAAGAAATATGTGCAGAATCATGAAGACACTCTGAGACAAAGTAATCTTGACACAACAAAAGGACACCAAGCTTTCTGATTTCAAATAAACCATAGTAATTAAACAACATATACTAAGGCTGGAGTGATAGCAGAGCAGGTAGGGCATTTGCCTTGCATGCGGCCAACCCGGGTTCGATTCCCAGCATTCCATAGGATCCCCCAAGCACCGCCGGGAGCCATTCCTAAGTGCAGAGCCAGGAGTAACCCCTGTGCATCGCTGGGTCTGACCCAAAAAACAAACAAACAAACAAACAAACTCCAGCATATACTAACATAAAAAGGAAACACTTAGCACTATGGAATGCATTGGAGAATTCGGAAAAGTGATTCTGTGCCCATATTGGCAGTCAGAGTTCAACATCAAACTACAGGTAGATGTTCACTGAGAAAGGCATATGTGTTCACAATGGGGAGAGGGTGAGTCCAGAGAAGAGAAGGAACTTGAGTTCCTATTTTACACTGCTCTAAATAGGAATGGATGCTGGTCTTGAACATAAAAATGAAAAGTATTTAAGTACAGGAACAACCAACCCATATTCCTTAACCTATTCCACCTTAGCCTTAGAAATAGATTTTTAGTAACCACATTAAAAACAGCAGCAAATTAAGTAAAATTTCAATTTAATACATTCATCTTGGTTTAAGAAGTACTATTTTACTAGAATAGATGACTATGTAATTTTACCACACTTTCAATATGCCAAACACAGTAACAAGAAGTCTCACAATGGAGACATTACTAGGCCCGCTCGAGCAAATTGATGAACAACTGGAAGACAGGACAGTGTTTTTCAGTACTTTCATTTAAAGTTTTGGTTAATTCATTCATAAATTAGTGAGCTATATTGTGTCACTGGACTATACTACTTTACATAATTAAAGTAAGTCCTAGTAAAGTAAGTAGACCTATTTTTTGTACATGGTACGTATTTTTTGTATGGAACCACTAAGCTTAACCTGCTACCATTCTCACCATAGTTATTCCTTTCCAAAGTTTCATGTTCCTTAAGTATTTTTATTTCTATAGTAGTTGAACTTATATCATCACATGAATGAACTGGACACATAATTAATGGTTTGTATACTTTAGGACAAGCCACTTTTTTTTCAAGTTTGTTTCCACATTTCATTTTCACTTAAGTGCCTCTGGATACCCTTTTCAATCTTATCATGCTGAGCCTTTTATAGAATTTAATTGACCTTTAAATTATTTATTTACTAAAATCATCAACATAACAATAACAAAGTTGAGATTACAAGTTTACAATCATGTGAATATATATGGTTTTGATGCCACATCTTTTCAGGGCAAAGATCTTTGTGGGAAGGGACCCTGGAGCCTATGGCACTTTGGTCACAGTTATCTTCTGGTAATAATAGCCTTTGAAGAGCATAAAACATATACTGCATAAAGAAACTATGGTACACCTACACAATAGAATACTCTGCAGCTGTTAGAAAGAATGAAGTCGTGAAATTTGCTTATAAATGTATTGACATGGAGAGTATCATGTTGAATGAAATGAGTAAGAAGGAGAGGGGCAGGTATAGAGTGACTGCATTCATTTGTGGGATATATATATATATATATATATATATATATATATATATAGAGAGAGAGAGAGAGAGAGAGAGAATATGAGACTAATATCCAAGGTGAGAGCAAACAAGGGTTAGAAGGACAGGTCAATGGTTGGAAGCTTGCCACAAGAGTCTGTGTAGGTTGAAGTCTACAAGTAAAGGGATACACTTGATAACCTTTCATTATCTGTATTGCAAACCATAAGGTCCAAAAGGAGAGAGAGAGAGAGAGAGACAGAGACAGAGACAGAGACAGAGAGAGAGAGTACCTTCTATAAAGTAAAGTAAAGTAAAGTAAAGTAAAGTAAAGTAAAGGCCCTCCCGTTGATCATCGATTTACTCGAGCGGGCCCAGTAACGTCTCCATTGGAGACTTTGTTGTTACTGTGTCTGGCATATCGAATACTCTCAGTAGCTGGATAGGGTGGGAACAGGAGGGAAACTGGGACCACTGGTGGTGAAAAAAATATATTGGAACATTATATGACTGACATCCAATCATGAACTTTGTAAATGTCTATTTCACTGTGATCCCATTTTTAAAAAAATTAATTTAATTTAAAAAACACATACCATTGTATAAACCAATATTCTTTCAGGTACAGTTTGTCAGTATCAGACTATTAGACTGGTGACAAGTCAGGTGTTAAAGTTATGTCCATAAAGATACAATTATTGTAAACCAAAGTATCAGTAAGTTTAAACATATTTATAGGAATTCCATTCTGAAATTCAAAATATGATGGTCTGGAAATTCAAACACATGGAAATCAAAAGATACTTCTAAGAAGCATTATGCATAATGCAGAACATGGAACCAACAAAATGCTTCCCAACAAAAAAGCAGAAAAAAAAATCCCTCATACCTGGGAAATGTGCAGGTCAGGTTGTAGACTAATGTAATAGACTGAATAAATTATTTTAATAGCACAGCAGGTAGGGCATCTGCCTTGCACGCAGCCAACATGGCCGACCCGAGTTCGATTCCTCCGCCCCTCTCGGAGAGCCCGGCAAGCTACCGAGAGTATTCGATATGCCAGACACAGTAACAACAAAGTCTCCAATGGAGACGTTACTGGGCCCGCTCGAGCAAATCGACGATCAACGGGAGGGCCTTTACTTTACTTTTACTTACTAGTCATTTTAATCATGTTTTTCCTATTTAACATTTTTTATTGTATTCTAATTTAGAATTAAATCAGACTTCTTCATCAAGATCTTGAACGATCGGTTTGAGGCTCTTCGTGTTCCTAGAACGAACAGATGCCATTGGGCTACACTAGCACGTGACAGGGAAAAATGAAGACGTTACTGGCACCCGCTCGAGCAAATCAATGATTAATGGAAAGTCAAGTGATCAAGTGATTGTAGTTTAGATAGCATGATTAACAGAGTGCTAACATTTATGACTCTGATGCACAGCACTACTGGACTTTTCACCACTGTCCTTATGTCACCTCTAGTCTACTCCTCATTCCCTCTGGCCTTTTCCCACATGGCTTAGTAATTAGTCTTTTAATCCAAGATCACAGGTCTGTCATTGTTTCTGACTGCCCATTCCTCTCCTTTGTCCCTCAGTATTACACAGATGAGTGCAATAATCCAGTATTGTATATGGTCCTCCCTCTGATTTATTTACATAACTGATGCCCTCCAGTTCCATTCACACTGAAATAAACTGCTTCATCTTTCCCTTTTTTCTTTCTTTCTTTCTTTCTTTCTTTCTTTCTTTCTTTCTTTCTTTCTTTCTCTTTCTTTCTTTCTTCCTTTCTTCCTTTCTTCCTTTCTTCCTTTCTTCCTCCCTTCTTCCCTTCCTTCCTCCCTTCCTTCCCCCCTCCCTTACTTCCTTCCTCTCTCCATTCCTTTCCTTCCTTCTTTCTTTCCTTCTTTCTTTCTTTCTTTCTTTCTTTCTTTCTTTCTTTCTTTCTTTCTTTCCTTCTTTCCTTCTT